TTGCACTGAATCGTTTAAAAATCCCCTTACCTTACTCTCCTTTTAGGATCACAAAGTAACGGAACAAGCACATTAACAATAGCGCTAAAATTCATACGCGAGGCTGAGATGATCATAAGCGCTGAGGTAAGGATGTTCAAAACCTGAAAATACAGCTTCTACTCATAAAAACTTTCAGGACTTGAAAAATCTCCAAGGCAAACGAACCGCATATTGATTCTTTTGCATGGCATCACTCAAAGGGTATTGTACACAAATGGGTGAATGAGTGACGTTATGTCATTTCATATTTAGGAAATCACTAATTACTATTTCTAGTCACTGAATGCTAGCAGTAATCGTAGAGGGAAGTATAGGCATCGTGGCACCACTCCGGCTATGGTTGATATTGTGGAAATGAAACAGTAAATTTTGAAAAAATGTTACCTCTTCTCGTACTCTTGAGTTTCTGTGCTCCAAATAGACGCATAAAACCCCGACAACAGCCTTAGGATTGACATTTTGGAAAAGGTCCATACAGGTCATCATGATCAACTGCTTAACAACTGCTTTCTGATTGCCAAAATGTTGAGCGATTAGAGAGATTGTTTGCTGAAAATAATGGGTCACGCTATACATAATAATCAAGTAGAAATGGAGAATAGATATGCTATATACGTAGGTATTTCTCTTGCTTATAACACATTATGAATTATTGATTTATTTGTAAGGCAATTCACTGAACAAGATGCATATTGGTTCTGTAGTAGAAGGATCAATTTATAACATTCATTTTAAGATGGGGCACTTTTTCATTGTTTAACCCAAGTTCACAATCATTGAAAAAATGCAGTTTCTACAAAAAAGCGATCAAATAAGTTAGAATCATAGCTTTAAAATAGGATTGTAGTACATTCCTGCAGCATGATTTTCTCATCCGCTTATGACTGTTACATCAGTAACAAAAAGTCTTTGAAGTCTCTAAGTATGTAATAATATGTTTGGTAAAACAAAAAACGGTTTCAAAAATTTATAAAGATTTTTTCTTGAATTAAGACATAACCTGCCAACATATCACTGCTCCAAAAATTGCTGTTATTTATAAAAAGAATTAAATATGTTATTGTACCACGCTCAAGATCAAGGTTATTAATAAACGCAATCAAATTGAAAAAAAAACATTTTTATTTTTTGCTGCGAAGAATTAACAAGGTTTTTTGTCATAGATGCAGTCAAAAATCATCATAATTTGAAATAGTTCTGGATTTTAATGAACGGCTCTCTCAGATTCTTATTCGTGCAAAAAATAACAAATCAACTAAATCTTAGCTCTGAAGTTGCGTTAGATCTTTCAGTTGCTCCAGCATAATGACTTATACTGACAAAGAAAACAGATCATATGTTTCTCTATAAGCGCTGACAGGAACTTTTCAAGCAAGTTTTTTAGAAGGGTCAAAAAAGCATGCAAAGCTGATGTATCATTAAGTTATTGTGGATTACGATAACCTCAACAGCTCCCTCTCCAGACACTCAATTTCTGACTCTCAGAATTTGTTAAATTACGAAATTCAAAGTTCTAACTTATATCGCAACTTTCGGAAGCATAATAGAGTGGGAGACTGTAAGCTAGGCATCTTGGTAGCATCCGGAATGGCAATTTAAAAAATTGTTTATCTGACGGAAAGCTTTTGGGGTGCTATTTGATACCTTACAGTTCCTTTAGTATTTCCAAGCATTCCATCTAAACATAGTACTATGACCAAAGCAAAAAAAAACGTACCTGTAGATGAGCTTCCATATTTGATTTAAGTCTGTTTACTGTAAGCCGCACAACATCTAGCGCTAACACAACAACCTAAAACTTGTAATCCTCATATCAAGTTCTTTAGAGAGAGGAGAGTGAGTTCAAGTAAGCCGTAAAAATTTTTTCCTAAAATAACTAAACACTTTATAATTACCTCATATTATGATGATCGTCAAGGTTTATCTAATCATGCAACCTTTGAAAATTACATTCTACGAGTCAGTTTTTTGTGATTCCACAAAATATAATCTCCAATTTGTAACCGACTAACAAAGAGCTGTACATTATTCCTCTTGATAATGATTTACTCGATGTTTTAGAAATCTAGCACCACACCGCCACTCATTCTTATGTTCTCCTTATCTGCCGTTAAACGAATTGAGAATTAGCAAATGTATTGTTGAGCGCACTGATGTGCCCAGAGATGAACTGATATCATCAAAATGCTCGATAGGCTCGCTTAATGTGCCTCACTGTTGTTTCTGCATAAAAGAAGCTAAT